GAATCCCAAACCTTTCTCTCCGGACATCGGCCTAACACCAGCCTGGTACAGAATTAATTTATGGCTACAGGCCTCTGGGTAATTTCTTTTAAGGGGGATGGGGTAGGAGGATGGTGTGCTCTTTATAAAGTAAGTTAACCCTTTAGAATAGAGGTATAGTTATACATTATGTGAAACATATCTATATCTCTATAAAATATATATATAGAATATAAAATTGTGTACTAAAATAATGCCCTTCATTCTAATGGCTCCTGAATATATTCTCCCAGCAACTCTTTCTATCATTCTAAAATCCAGTTTGTAAAAGATTTCAATATAGTCTTTAAATCTTCCTTTAACCTCATTTGTAACTATCAGATTTCTTCCATGTTCCTGAGCCTTCCTATATTAGCTGTAATTTGTTCTGTAACTTCTCAAATTTACTTCTGAGCATTCCTATGTTAGCTGCATTTTTTTCTGTAACTTCTCAGATTTTTATTAAAAAGTGTCTTATTTTTGTTATTTTATTCTATTTGTTTGTATTTTTAATTAAGATATATTTACTTGTCTGGCATTTGAAGTCAGCATCTAATCCTTGTACATCCTTCTTGATGCCCAAGGCTTTCATCCTCTGTCTTTGTTGGGCTATCGTGGTACTGTAAATTGTTCTGGAAGCCATTTGGAAATGTTCATCTTTGAAATTTTGAGAAAATTTTTCCATTTTCTATAACTCCCCAAGTTCTCCTTTGCATAGCATATGAATCTGTATGTTACACTGATCTTATATTCTGATTGTATGCTCTCCAGGTCAAATCTTGCTAGCGTATTTATTATCTTTACTTTTTGAAATTTAACCTATATATCTGACACCAGTAATTCATTACCTATTCCGCAACTGACATTTGGAAATGCCCTGGGTGCCTGGATTGCAATTTTCTTTCTTCTGTTTCATATTATATAGTTGATTTGGTTTTGATGATGTATGCTCAGTGTTGTCTTGGGATACAGCCTGCTTTTATGTTGCTTGATACAGGCTTAACAACAAGCAAAGGATTCTCTTTACAAATTTCTATTAGCCCATCTCCTGTGTTTTTGCATTCATGAGTCCAAATCTTTCTGTAGTTCTAGGTTTCTCCATTTCTGCAACTTCTGTGTTCTAATCACACATTAGTAATATCATCTCCTTTATAAACATTGCATTTTATAGACACTGTACTTCTGGCAATTTATCATATAATTGCTTGGTGTCTGCCACCTTTGCATCTGTTCTGAATACCTACTGGGATGTGCATGAAATGAAAAAAAAAATGCTTTGTTTTAAAGCCAAATCAAACACACTGTGTTTCAAGATTTTTGTTCTTGAAACAAATCTAGAGGGGTCTTACAGGCAAACAGAATAAAATGGGTGTGCCTCACCTCTCTCTTCCCTTGTCCTCTGTGTGGCTTATCCACTGGCCTGCCTGGCAGTCTTCTGAGCCCTTCCTTCCCTACTCTTTATTTAGCTCTTGGGTTTCGCAAACCCTCTGTCCTCTGTTAGTAAAACAACATTCTAATATTTGTATATGTTCTCTTGAGCTACCAACATTTTTTAAAGACGAGCTTAAAGACCAGACCTGTTGACTTACTTTGATGCAGGAGCTTTGCTTTTCTCCTCCTTGCTTTGGGAAAAAAGTGGAGTATCTACAATAGATAAATATAGCAGAATGATGTGGATGAATGGATTCTGTCACTTGAAGCTGAATTTTCTTCAGAATTTATGTTCAACGTTAAACCATGAATTGCATCAGTGATACAGTCATTTGTTATTTAAGAAGGCCAATTTTCTAGGATTAGCAAAAAGTACAGTGCTGTAGGTAATGGTAGCATTTCCAGTTTTGATATTAAAAAGTTAGTAGTTGATAGCTGGATTAGCTGAGATTTAAAAACCATTGGGAACTTACTTGGCAGCATCTGAAAAGGAAGTCCCAAAACAGTATTATATTCTGCATCAGCATTTTGTTGCATTCTTTTTACTGTTCATTTTGTGGAAAATTTCTTTCTTTTTTTCCCCTTCACTCCAAAGGAGGGTGAAAACTGATGAGCTTCTCCAAAGGGGGAGATCCAATCTTGTACTTATTCTTAAAGTTGGTGGTGAGGTGTGTGCATAAGTGTTTGGTCTGTTGTTGTACAATCATCTCTGGCCTTTCTTTTTCCATCTTTTGATTAAATCCCCAAAAAGACATAATGAAAGAACTTTGCTTTGGGATTTTTTCAGAGAAAGCATCCTCTGCCACTTTGCAATAGTAAAATAATTTTGTAAATAGCACCAAAAGACATTTGTAAGAAATGTTAATGCACTGTATAAATGAGGTTCAAAAACAGAATTATCTTTTGCAGGGAAAGGAAACAATTTGAAAATTGGAGGAAAAAAATTACACAGTGCAAGTATCATTTTGTAAGTATGGAATTTTAAGACATACAGTAAAATATGGAGGAAAATAAAAATGAATATATCCAAATGTGCCATAGAAGATTTTTTTACACAATCTACCTGCACATTTTAATTTCACAGCTCAAAAGAACACATTTCAAGAATATTTTAATGTTTGCAGCTCAACATGGGTACACAGTTCCCACTGTAACGAAAGAGAGAATAGATG